ATACAACTTCGTTAAGTTTTGTTAATTAGTGTATCTTTCAGAGCTATTGTTTGAATCCCGATATACATGCTAAAAGATACAACTTCTTCAAGTTTTGTCCATTAGTGTATCTTTCAGAGTTATTGTCTGAATCCCGATAAACATGCTAAAAGTTACAACTTCCTTAAGTTTTGTCCATGAGTGTTATTTTAAAGCATCTTATCATCATCATAGATTCATTTTGTAAATACAGAGGGTGTTCGCACTTATAGGGGAAACAAGTTTTATTATAAAATATTAAAAATTAACACCATATTTGAAAATTTCCAAATGTTCTATTTGAAAGTCTTTTTGTTTATTTACAGAACGGCACCTGATTTTCCACGATAGCAGACACTTTTCATGGTCATACTCAAAAGATCCCATTCTTCCTTTACCACTTTCCAGAGACCTTCAATTGTCCTAGGGTGTCTCTTTCCAAGTGCTCTTTTAAGGCATCCAAAAAATCCAAAATTCATCGGGGCTAAATCAGGAGATTTTACAGGATTTCTGTTCTTTGGAATAGTGTTGAATTCTGTTCTTTGCCTTAGATCTTCCAAATGAGCTTGGGTTGAATATGAGGTATGACTTGTGGCGTTATCATGGTGAAACCATACTTTGTTGCTCTGTTTTCCATAGATAGAGGGAATATCATTTGAAAATATAGGTTCTAAAATGTTGTTTTGATAGTACTGAGAGTTTATTTTGCCATTTCTCTCAAATTTTCTTATTTTTAATTTTCCTTCATATGATATACCGCATGCCACCATAAATCCTTTGGGGTAACTTTCGGCTCATTCCTTCAACCAAATTGGCCTAGATTTTTCCACCCTTTTTTGATAGTATATAGCTCTTTTTCTGTCGCAATCGGTTAAATATACCCATGCTTCGTCATATGTAACAATAAATTTCCATCTATCAGCAGCCAATAAATTTTCATAAAAATATCTGCTGATAGCGTGTCGCTGACGAATATGGCTCTGAAACAATTTGTGAACCGCATGTTTTTTGTAGCTTTTAGGCCTAAATCTTTATTTATTATTTTATTTATTGTTGACACTGATGTTCCTATTAATTTGGCTATATCTCTTTGTGGCATAGGAATTTCATTTGTAATATATTTTTTCACTTTTTTGACAGTTGCAGGAGTTCTCACAGATATATGGTGATAATCTTTTGTCCATTTCTCCGTAGGTACTTCGAATAAAAACTTGATATTTTTGTCGTGAATAATATTATAAATACCTTTTTTAGAAACGTTGATATCATCTTGTTTGCATATTTTAATTATGTCCAAATAGGTAAGATTATCTCTGGAAAGTGGTAAAGGAAGAATGGGGTTTTTTTATGAGTATGACCATGATCAGAAAGTGTCTGCTATCGTGGAAAATCAGGTGACGTTCTGTAAATAAACAGAAAGACTTTCAAATAGAACATTTGAAAAATTTCAAAATTGGTGTAAAATATTAATATTTTATAACAAAACTTGTTTCCTATAAGTGTAAACACCCTCTGTATCTTAAAGAAGTTCTATTACCATGTGTTATTAGGATCCTTATTAGCTTTCTGATTCGTATGTCGTCACTATTAATTTTTTTGCTAATATAATAATTTATAATATTATAAAGTGGGGATCGGTGGAAGGATGGTTTAAACCGTTGGTTTTCGACAGCTACGTTACAGGATCGAATCCCGCATTGAGATTTTTTTTTTAATAGAAAAATCTCCAACGGCTTCAGATTATTGCAATAGTTCAACCACAACAGCTATTGTAAGTAACTAAACTGAGCTCTGACACATTTGTAAGTGCAAAAGTCGAATTGCTTTTCACATGTGTAGACATGTCGTTTACTTACAGTGAGAGCCGTCGCTAACTACCCACCATGATTATCAAGGCCTGTATCACGCGTACTAGGTGTTAAAATAACAATAAAGTATGTTTTAATTAAAATAATACTCTATAGGCAAACATTTACATGAGGTGATGCCGGGCGAAGCTAATCTCATTCGTGTATATATTGTTACTTCGTTGCTTTTGTGTCAATGATGGTCAAATAAGCACGCAGGATCTTTACTCTCTCGACTCTTCTTTATTTACCTTCGTGTATTATGGAGGACAAGTAACAGAGAATCATTCAATATCAGTCAACAACAAGGAGCCAAATTCAACTGTCGGCTGAGCTAGAAGGGAATAAGGAAACAGTCTATGGAGATAAGAAAACGGTATATGGGGATAATAAAACAGTCTATGGGTAAATGAAACAGTCTATGGGGATAAGGAAACGGTATATGGTATAAGGAAACAGTCTATGGGTTTAGGAAACAGTCTTTGGAGACTAGAAAACAGGCTATGGAGATAAGAAAACAGTCTATGGAGATAAGGAAACGGTATATGGGGTAAGGAAATAGGCTATGGGGATAAGAAACAGTCTATGGGGATAAGGAAACAGTCTATGAGGATAAGGAAACAGTCTATGGGGATAAGGAAAGAGTCTATGGGGATAAGGAAACAGTCTATGGGGATGAGGAAACGGTATATGGGGATAAGGAAATAGGCTAAGGGGATGAGGAAACGGTATATGGGGATAAGGAAATAGGCTATGGGGAGAAGAAAACAGCAAATATGGATAAGAAAACAGCATATATGGATAAGGTAATAGTCTATGGGGATAAGGAAACAGTCTATGGGAATAAGGTAACAGTCTATGGGGATAAGGAAACAGTCTATGGGTATAAGGAAACAGTCTATGAGATAAGGAAACAGTCTATAGGGATAAGTAAACGGTCAATTGGGTAAGGAAACGGTATATGGGGTAAGGAAACAGTCAATAGGGGTAAGGAAACAGTCTATAGGGGTAAGGAAACAGTCTATAGGGATAAGGAAACAATATATGGGGATAAGGAGGCAGTCTATGAAGATAAGGAAGCAGTATATGGGGATAAGGAAACAGTCTATGGGGATAAGGAAACAGTCTATGGGGATAAGGAAACAGTCTATGGGGAAAACAAACAGTATATGGGGAGAAACAAACAGTATATAGGGATAAGGAAACAGTCCATGGGGATAAGGAAACAGTATATGGGGATAAGGAAACAGTCTATGGGGATGAGGGAAACGGTATATGGGGATAAGGAAATAGGCTAAGGGGATGAGGAAACGGTATATGGGGATAAGGAAATAGGCTATGGAGAGAAGAAAACAGCAAATATGGATAATAAAACAGCATATATTTATTTATTTATTTCAGCACACTAACGCGATATCCCGGCTAAGAATAATTGCGTCGATATATGGATAAGGTAACAATCTACGGGGATAAGGAAACAGTCTTTGGGGATAAGGAAACAGTTTATGGGAATAAGGTAACAGTCTATGGGGATAAGGAAACAATCTATGGGGATAAGGAAACAGTCTATGGGGATAAGGAAACAGTCTATGGGGTTTAGGAAACAGTCTATGGGGATAAGGAAATAGGCTATGGGGATGACGAAACGGTATATGGGGATAAGGAAATAGGCTATAGGGAGAAGAAAACAGCATATATGGATAAGGTAACAGTCTATGGGGATAAGGAAACAGTCTTTGGGGATAAGGAAACAGTCTATGGGGCTAAGGAAACAGTCTATGGGGATAAGGAAACAGTCTATGGGGATATGGAAACAGTCTATGGGGATAAGGAAACAGTCTATGCGGATAAGGAAACGGTGTATGGGGATAAGGAAACAGAATATGGGGATAGGGAAACAGTATATGGGAATAAGCGAACAGTCTATGGGGATAAGGAAACAGTGATGCGGATAAGGAAACAGTCTATGGGGATAAGGAAACAGTATATGGGAATAAAGAAACAGTATATGGGGATAAAGAAAAAGTATATGGGGATAAGAAAACTGTATATGGGGATAAGGAAACAGTATATGGGGATAATGAAAGAGTCTATGGAACAAGAAAACAGTCTATGGGGATAAGGAAACAGTTTATGGGAATAAGGTTACAGTCCATGGGGATAAAGAAACAGGCTCCACCTTCTTAACTGATTTTCATGTTTCTCTTATCTACCCTAAAGATTGGACGTCGCCGTAATAATTTAAAATCAACATATTTGAAATTTAGGATATACTAGCCGAATGACCCGGGCAACGCCCTTATTTTGCCCGATTGAATGTTTTTATTCAAATACTATTTGTTACAAATATAAATTTGGCGCCTTTAATAAATGCATATATTAGTTAATAACTATAGCCTATGTGCTTTATCTGTCTGTGTACTGTTGGCTTCCGTAGGCATCTCATACTGGGAAAAGGAAAGAGAGGATTCCATTTAGTTATTAACCAATATATGCATTTATTTAAAGAGCGACGCGCTCCAAACCAATAGTTACAAAAACGAAAGAGCAAGTGGGGGAGGCATGATGGGGGGGGGGGGGGCAAAGGTGGCGTGACCGTAGCCAACCAATAGGAGGGCACCATTCCAAAAAAAACAAACGGTGACAGAGGCCGATGAGGAATGACGCTCGTAACTGTATATAGAATAAAAGAGTTGTCTGAATAGTTGTGTATTTGTCTATTTAATAATTACATTAATATTATGAAGCATTAGCGCGCCATCTGTTATTATAATTCGAAACTATTATAGACACGTATGATTCTTTTGAGAATCAAACAAGTTCTACTGTCCTTACTGCAATGTAAGCATTAATATATACAGTTATCAGCGTCATGCGTTCTTAATTCTGTCACCGTTTGCTTTTGGTTTAGTGGTAGAATGCTCGCCTGCCACGCGGGCGCCCCGGGTTCGATTCCCGGCCGATGCTTTTTTTTTTTTTTACAATTTTTAAAACTCATTTATATATTATAGTGGCGGGCACCCCGGGTTCGATTCCCGGCCGATGCATTTTTTTTTACAATTTTTAAAACTCATTTATATAAACTTTAATATATACAGTTATCAGTGTCATGTGTTCTTAATTCTGTCACCGTTTGCTTTTGGTTCAGTGGTAGAATGCTCGCCTGTCATTCGGGCGCCCCGGGTTCGATATCCGGCCGATGCATATTTTTTTTTACAAATTTTAAAACTTATTTGTATATTATACAAGAATGACATCCACGGCGCCAATTTATAATTGTAACGAATAGTATTTGAATAAAAGCATTTAATCGGGTAAACCCCGGGCGTTGCCCGGGTCATTCGGCTAGTATTTATATATTTATAAATGTATGTAATTCTACTGTCCTCAAAGATTAAGTCCATAGTTCATCTAAAATACCCATTTCAAGAGTCTAGCATCAGTGCCAATATAGAAGAAAGATCGAAAAATGCAATTCAAATGCATTCATTGCAGTAAGGGCAGTAGATATTGATTAATTTTTAAAAGAATCATACGCGTCTATAATAGTTTCGAGTTTTCATAATGATTACATTAATTACATAAATGAAAACAATAGTGAATAAAAATGCTTTGTCTTTTTATTACGATAACATTATATAAAACACGAGTTTTGTATCTTTTGGAGTTTTCTACATATATACAGGACTTACTCCTTCGTTTTCTGTTAATGGTATCTGGGTTAGATGTTCACTTGTAACATTGCTATAGATGCTAGTTGACATGTTATGGAATATTCCCTAATGTAGTCAGGTGTCGATGTTGAAATCGCCATTATCTAAAAGTAGGGGAGGCTCTGAGAGAGATTATCGAAAATTGATAAGATTATTGGAAATATGATATCTGATGAAATCTCCCACTATATCATAGAATTCAAATATTTAGATGAATAAAGAGAAAAAAACTCTTGAAAAACACCTTCTGGAGATTTAGCAACCCACTGCAGACGCTGAGAACTATTTCAGAAAATAAAAATATAGCAATAGAACTCTATAATTTCTACAGATCAATTGTAAATAGATTCATACACAAAAGAGAAAGTGAGGAAAGTTTCAGAAGAGATGTGTAAATAAATCCCTTTTCAAACAAAGGCCCACGTGCACATGGGGATAGGGAGGAAAAAATATAGTGTTATTTTGTTGTTGTATGGCGAATCCATACAGGGCAATGGGCCCTAATAAAATCTTTTTTGTTGTTTTTGTTGTTGATAAGATTATTCCCTTTTATTTACACAACGATTCTTCATCTTTGTCAACCAATCAGATCAGTTACCGCCATGTTTGAGGATAAGGATGAATATTTTGTAAAGCCTTTTATCAACACTCATGTCATACTAGGAATAAAGGGTATCATATGTCTGGTACTACATGGACTATTCAGTTCATTGCTGAACTACATATACTAGCGGATGTGTACCCGGCTTTGCCCGGGTTTTATCCGAGTGAAAGTTTGCCTAACGAATATTATTGATAATAATATTCGGGAACACACAGAATATTATGATAATAATGATAATATAATTCGTTATGTCATATATTTATATAATATTTGAAATTTATTTTTCGAGCAAACATATCCACTCTCTCTACTGAATAGATTTTTAAAAAGATATACATAAATAAAACTATCTAGAGATATACTACATGATCTTAGACAAAAGGCCGAGAAACGATATTTTATATATAGAAATGACCTGGCTTCGTGTGTCTTCTGCTCGACTGAATGTTTCGCTGGTAGAATTTTTTTCCTGCCTACTAAAATTTATTATCTGGCTTCGCCCGTGGTCTGCTTTAGTGAATATTCGCCTAAAGAATTTGTTTATGTCAATCAAGCATGATACAGCAATATTGTCATCATCATTTCTGACTAAAAAAATATTTTTCTCAGTACCTGGTAATTATAATTTTTCTTGGTTAAAGTGCGATAAAAACTCTTCCAGGTTTAACTCTCTGTCCTGATTAAATTTCAGCGAGATTAGTTACATACGAGGCATGGCTAGTCCCCGAATGGCGTCTGTTCGGCGGCTTACTAGGTCTTCGTAGTGGGGCTGCATGTTGGTGAGGGCATCCGCGACGTGTTCGTCTTCGACCTCCGTCATCCTCTGCTTGTCCTCAGTCATCCTGTCGACTTTAACGGGTTCTGTAGTAAACCCGATGTGGAATGTGCTCGGCAGTCGTGGTAGTGGGTGCGTGATGGGATTCCCGCACTGGGACAGCAAGAGACAGAGGCAGGTCTAGATGGTAACTTCAAGAGGAAGACCACGGACGAAGACTGTCGCGGATGCCCTAGCCGACCGTCTAACGCCGTCGCTCTGAAAACAACTACCGAATAACTCCCTTTGTCCCATTTCTGGGCTCTTTATATACTCTGGGACGCTCGCATATGTGGCGATTCCTCATTGGCTACTGTAATCACGTTACTTTATGGCGCCAGGTTGTTTTTCGTCTGGCCTTTGTCGTCTCTGGTCTACCTCCTCTTTGTTTTATTGTCACTTCCATTGTTCGATACATATTTTAATATATAGATATGGGGTTATATAATGAATATCAGAAGAAGGTTGTGAACCATATAACTCAAAATATACTACATATATATATACTTCACGAATGACCCGGCTTCGCCCGGGAATTCCCCTGAGTGCAATTTCCTTCCTACTGAAAGAACATTACTAATAAATAGTATTAGAGCCATAGAATAGCAACACCGAAGTAATACATTATCACAGGCAAAAAGTATGTGTGATGTCAAAAAATGCAATATATTAGTATTTAGTTATTTTATTTATTTATTTTTCAATCCATTTAGGTGTTTTAAATATAGTTCAAATATTTGGCAGATTTTCCACCCAACCTCCAAAGTACCCGCCCCAGCGTGTTAACTCTTATATATAGTGGTGCATTCTCTGTAGGTCTATTACACTCTTTGGGTAAAAAGGGATAGGGATTGAAATTGCTTGAGAAGTGTTGTATTCCAATTTGATTACACACAGCGCTCAAAGTTAATTATTCTTTAATTAACTACAAAAAAATAGGATTATATATAGATTAAATATAAAATAAAAGGATTTAAAAGCGCGAATGTTTCTTTTATACATAAATCGAACTTCTACTGCCCTTACTGCGATGAAAAAATATATTGGGAGGGCTTGGCTCATCAGTGGTGAACCCTCCCAGCGGTTTCGCCAATTTAATCCACCAGACCGCTTCTCAGAGCTCTAATACTGTATTGGATCATTCTGCTTTTATATGCTACACTGAAGGATGGAATCTTAGGAATGGTTTTCAAGTGAACTATGGACATAAGCTAATAGGATTATATTCAAATATTTGCTTCAAGCATTGCTCTTCAGCAAACTATAAAGATAAGGCCAGTCAGGAATAAATTAACACAAAGCAATAACGCGCCATCTATACATATAAAATAAAAGGATTTAAAAGCGCGAATGTTTCTTTTATACATAAAACGAACTTCTACTGCCCTTACTGCGATGAAAAAATATTCGCGCTTTTAAATCCTTTTATTTTATATGTATAGATGGCGCGTTATTGCTTTGTGTTAATTTATTCCTAACTGGCCTTGTCTTTATAGTTTGCTGAAGAGCAATGCTCGAAGCAAATATTTGAATGTAATTCTACTGTCCTATTAGCTTATGTCCATAGTTCACTTGAAAACCATTCCTAAGATTCCATCCTTCAGTGTAGCATATAAAAGCAGAATGATCCAATACAGTATTAGAGCTCTGAGAAGCGGTCTGGTGGATTAAATTGGCGAAACCGCTGGGAGGGTTCACCACTGATGAGCCAAGCCCTCCCAATATATTTTTTCATCGCAGTAAGGGCAGTATAAGTTCGATTTATGTATAAAAGAAACATTCGCGCTTTTAATTCCTTTTATTTTATATGTATAGATGGCGCGTTATTGCTTTGTGTTAATAGATTAAATAGTAAACACGGAGAAAGAGAATAAGTCAGCGTGGCGACGCCGCTTGCAGGTTACATCAACAGGAAGTGACGTCAGCTCCAGTGTTGCCGAAGCCAGGCGCCCGCTGTCACGGTCTAGCAATCTCCTCCCTCGAAGTGATCCCTTCTTTATGGATTACTTCGCCGTTTAAAAGTCTTCTTGTGTGGTACCCACTTACAAGCAATTGGGGCAGAATCTTTTGGTAGTTCTGTTAGTTCCCAAACTTTGTGCTTTCTCAAGGATTCCAATTCTTCTTCGATTGCTTCAAGCCAATGCCCAGCTTCAGGGCCTTGGATAGCTTCTTTATACGAAGTAGGATCTCCCTTATTTACTTCAGTACTGAGGAGTACAATTGAGTTCTGAGCATTTCTCTGGTTCCTTAGGATCATTGGATGAGATCGAGTAGGAGAAGGCTTCACAGTATCTTCATTATGGCTGTCCTTTTCTGTAGGTATCACGTCTTCTTGATCTAATAAAGACACTGGATTCTCTTCAATCTCCCGTTGAGTCCCATAGCTGTAGTGTTCAACTGATGGAAGCACCTCCCGGTTGCTGTCGTTCCTCGATACATCACTCTCTTTGAAGACACAGTCCCGAGATTCCACCACTTTCTTCATCTCAGGAATCCACACTCTGTAGCCACGTCCTCTGAGTGCATATCCAACAAGGTTACCTTTGACAGCTCTCCTTTCGAGTTTGGATTTACGGACTTGTCTTGGAATATGGACAAATACTTGACAGCCAATAGCTCTTATGTGTTTAAGACTAGGCTTGTTCCCAGTCCAAAGGTCATATGGCGTGCTTTCACCATTGTGATTGTTGAGAACTGTTTCTGACATAGGCTGCGGTGTAAGTCAGCTCCGCCCAGGAAGCCTTTGGCAGACCACTTCCAGATATAGTGCTACTGACAAGATCAAGGAGTGCCCTATTCATTCTTTCTGCCACACCATTCTGTTGGGGTGTATACGTCATAGTGTGTTCATGAACTATTCCAACGCTCGTGCAGAAAGTGTCCCATTCCTTGGAACAAAATTCCAAGCCATTATCCGTACGTATTCGTTTTAGTTTCCGGCTGGTTTGTTTCTCAGATTCTTGAATCCACTCTTTGACTTTCCCAGGGTTCCGCCTTTGATTTTCAGGAAAAAATACACTGCATATCTTGTAGATTCATCAATGATGGTTAAGACGTACTTGGCTCCTCCCCA